ATATTCTCCATGTTGTAGTTTCACTAAATCTTTCTTACGATCTGCAAAAAAGAGAAAGTTTATTTTAACTCATATCTCTACGCGTAATTTGCAATTTTTGGGCAAATATATAATAAATTATGGACACATCTAGACAATTAGAGCTTTTTCAATATCAATCTTATTTAAAGTAGAGCTGTAACAAACCTTGAACCAGCTGAATGTATGGAAGGCCTTAACTCAAAAGGCACATGGGCCCCTTTACATGTAGGATATGGAAGCAATTAAATTTCTTTAATCACTTTCCCATCTCAAAAAACAAAGTAGATTGAGCTTCTTGCATATGACAAACTCCTCTCGCAAGTTTCTTATGAAACACTTATCTGCGATATCTGCCTTCAAATATTGTCAGCCCCTTCCTCGATTGAATTAAAACTTTGTGGATGTATGACTCACCTATGATTCGTAAGTTACCGTCCTCTTCGAATTGTCCAATATCACCGGTACAAAAATATCGAACTCCTCCGATAGTGACAAAATCTTCGTCTGTTTTCTCCTGATTTTTATAATAACCCATGGTTATATTACCTCCTCCTATCAATATCTCACCACGAGGGAATGGAGTATCACTATTTGTATAATTACCTGTAAATAATAAATATCAAGTCAAATTTAGGCCATATATAAAAATATTCTAGTTCTCAGATAATCCTGCTTCGCTTATAAAAGGCTGCATGACCTTTTTTTATTAAAAAAAAAATACAAAATAAAACAGTCTATTTAATTATTGCACGTCACAGAAAGTAAATTTGAATAAATCCAAAACAAAATAAAAATCAAAACCTCCCTCCAACATCAGATTTTGGGGACAGATTGTCGGTCAACCAGAATGTCATTATTGTATCGCCTTATAGAACAGTTTTCCTAAAAGACGTTTAAAAAAGAGCTAGCTTTCCCTTATTCATTACATTTTCTAATTCCTTGTATCGTTTTCAATTATATAGCTTTACAATTAAAACAATTTTTTTTGGGGGGGGGGGGGTAGATTCACTTAAACCTGGTAACGAATGAGAACATGCTATGACTTGTAACATTGACACCTGTCGTCAATAATCAGCCAGGACAATTGGACATTTATTCACATGACAAGCCAATCATCAACTTTCTAGATTGGTACACAAACTCCATTTAATTATGGGATATAACATACTACTTTCCTGCAGTAATTGGGCTAATGAGGACAGGCATACACAACGCAGTGCACAATGAGGAAGGGCATACACGACGCAGTGCACAATGAGGACAGGCATATGTAACGCAGTGCACAATGAGGACAGCAATACACAACATGGTGCACAATAAGGACAGGCATACACGATGCAGTGCACAATGAGGATGGGCATACACGACGCAGTGCACAATGAGGACGGGAATATGTAACGTAGTGCACAATGAGGACAGCCATACACAATGCGGTGCACAATAAGGACAGGCATACACAACACAGTGCACAATGAGCATACACGACGCAGTGCACAATGAGGACGGGCATATGTAACGTAGTGCACAATGAGGACAGCCATACACAAAGCAGTGAGCAATAAGGACAGGCATACACGATGCAGTGCACAATGTGGGATAGCTTCTGTAATTAAACAATATGGAAGCAATCTTTTATGAAAAGATCTGTTTTATAGTGAACACTCAAAACAATAAAGTCTGGATTTTTCTCCCTTTTTTAATGTCTATCTATGAAACAACCTTTCAACAAATATTTCAACAAATTTGCTATATTTACCCTCTGGCCAATCATGTAGCCTGATTTCAGAGCAGATTAACGGAGCGCCAACTCTTCCTAAACTCAAATCACTAACTGCAATCAAAATATACATATAATTAAAGTTTCTGAGCCAATGTCTTACCCACAGAGCCACCGTGTCTCCCTCTCTGCTTAAAGAGATATGGTTGAATTAATTCAGTATTAACAAAGATAGTATCATTTGAAAATCTGGCAATAGAAGAGGGCACGTACAGTAAACTTTTGAGAGAGAGAAAGAGACAAATGGGGTTTAAAGTCCACTTGGCACAAACTAGGTCATTTCAGGACTAAGATATGGTACAATTTTATTTGAATAATTCACTTGTGCGTCGGGGTCTTTAGCAGTGGGAGAGAACCAGAGGACCCGGATAAAACCCACGAGGTTGGACAGCTGAATCTACACCTTGACATGTACAAGCAGGTAATCCAAACCAGATCTTATGATCCAACGAGCCCCCCCCCCTCCCGTCAGTAAATTAAATGTAGTGACTAGTATCAAAATAGTTAAAGATCTGTTTACATTCATTTACCTTCCGTCACTGTTCCAGCTCCACAAGTCTCTGTTAATCCGTAGCCTTGGCCTACAGGGCAGCAGAAACAGATATTCATAAATCGTTGGGTTGCATTTGATAATGGAGCTCCACCAGATAACATAAGACGAACTCGTCCTCCCAATAAATTACATAATTTACTAAATATCAACCTGACAAATATAAAAAAACAATGTTTCTAGTACATGAATTGAACAGAATTTAATTTCTAATCAAATGAAATGGAGTTTAACGTCTACTGTTTGGCTCTGTCTAGGCTAATGAAGACAGGCAAATGCCATACAGTATGCTATGAGGGAAATTTTGCCTGGACAGACGCACATCTAATCAACACTTCACACAGGTCATATATTTATTTACTATAGTCACAGTCATGGGCGTGGATTTAGGAGGGGGGGGGGCGGGTCCCCCCTTAGAATCAGAAGCGGGGACGAATAGGTCTCTGTCCCCCCCCCATGATTTTGATCGCAAGGACAGATTTTCAGGTTTATATCCACATGAATGTCCCGTTCTGAAGGCCATCTAACCACTGCCGTGGGTCTCACCACTGTAATTCATCTTCACGATATCCTCCTCCTTAATTGGAGGTAGTCAATTTTACCATATCGTCATCATATTACCCCTAGTTACAGCTTTCATCGAAATAACACTGGTTGGTAAACTGTTCGTAATTATTATTTTGGTTTGGTAATGAAAGGTTCCAGGGTTCGTTCGTCCCCCCCAAAAGTTATGACAAATCCACGCCCTTGGTCACAGTTTAGGGATTTTGTCAAGACAACAGTTATTTATCGCTAATATTCTTTGAGTTCCAAGTATCAAGGGCGTTCTAAACGAAATGTCTATAAATGTGTTCATGGATAAACCTGACATGTGGCAACGTTACCAGTATGGATGCAAATTAATGGTCTACAGCAACTGAGCTATTGAAGAGGGCCATGTGGCATTCTTCTTTGCTTATTGGGTTTTTCTACCCCATCCGATTGACTAGGCCCTTTTCCTTTGCCAGGTCCTTTGTCACCATTGTAACTCTCAGAAGTGGAAACCAGACATGAAAATATCCTGAGGAAACATCTAGGACCAGTATGTGAGTAAAATACGTTTGTTTATAAATATCGTTCACTACTAACTTGTTTAATATTGGCGTATCATAGCCATTTTCTAACTGTTTCTTCTTATAATCATAGGCAAACTTAAATAAGGCTCTAGCGAAAACACTTCCTCCATTTACTTTATCCCACACACCTTTATATATACGATCTAAAATCACCTAGAAATATATCAAAATTACCATAAAAAAAATATATATCTTAAACATTCAACGATAAATAAAATGAAAAGCGGGTTAAGGTTCTACTTATCTGTTCCGACTGGGATAATGAAGACAGGCATACGCCATAAAGTGTGCTTGGAGGGAAATTTTGTCTGGAAAACATTCCTACAGTCTGCTTAATTATTTTGATTTTGAACCCAGCCAATAGTATACATGTATCTAGAGGCTTTTCCTTAGCTGACCGTTTATCCAGCAGTACTAACAAGGATGAAATCAGGCTTGAGATAGGTCCTCTATCCAGCGGTACTGAGAAGGATGAAACCAGGCTTGAGGCAGGCCCTCTATCCAGCGGTACTGACAAGGATGAAATCAGACTTGAGACAGGTCCTCTATCCAGCAGTACTGACAAGGATGAAACCAGGCTTGAGGCAGGCCCTCTATCCAGCGGGACTGACAAGGATGAAACCAGGCTTGAGGCAGGCCCTCTATCCAGCGGTACTGACAAGGGTGAAACCAAGCTGGAAAATCTGAAGGGAAACTTTCAATACCTGGAATGAACCTGACATCTGCTTGTTAATGAGCCAACACACTCCTGCTAAATGACCACACTATATTAATTTGTATTCTCTTTATTCTCACAACCATACACCATTACAACACATCATGTTATTGTTTCGATGTACAGAAGACCACTGAACGCTGTCTACGGCTGTACACACACAGAACTCATTACTATTCACATATACAATGGGAATGAATATTCATGTTAACAACTCCTACTGTTATCAATTCACAATGTACTTCAGATCTATCTAGCTCTGTTTAGAAATACTAGAAATCAGAAACGGGAGGGGAACGGCAGCACTCCCTTAAGAGAGTAACAAAGGCTTGACAGACCAGTAGATCTGTGTTGATACTGTATCAAACGATGGTGTCAGCCGATGGGCAGAGGAATCCCTGTACAGTGCAGGCAAGCAGATCTCAGGACACAGTTGGGAGCAAAAAATTTAATAGTAAAGTAATATTTCGCAAACAAAGAATTGAAGATATAAGTTAAATTTATGCTTACTGGTACTGATGCCATTAAAGTTGGGCGTAAAACTGAGACATCGCCTTTACCTCCTTTCTTTATTTTACTTGATGTATCGGTTAATGTTAGAGGTGAGGAATATCCGATACATACACCATGTGATATACACGATATCTCTACAATATACAATAATACCTTATACATACACCATGAGATATCTCTACAATATACCTTATACATACACCATGTGATATACACAATATCTCTACAATATACAATAATACCCTATACATACATGTACACCATGTGAAATACGCAATATTTCTACAATATACAATAATAGTATAATACCCTATACATACACCATGTGATATACACGATATCTCTACAATAAACAATAATACCCTATACAGACACCATGTGATATACACAATATACAATAATACCCTATAGTTATTGCTATGTATATTAAACAAAATGATATGAAATAGGGTTCAACAATCTACTGTTCTTGCTCCGACTGGGCATGGAAGACTGGCACACGCCATACAGTGAGCTATGAGGGGAATGTTTGTAATATGAGAGATAAAGAGAATTGGGTTTAGCATCCACTCGACACAAACTAAGTGATATCGGAACTAACATACGGTTCAATTTTATTTCAATAATTCAATTGTGGGTAGGGGTCTTTAGCAGTGAAAGGCAGCCAGAGGACCCAGAGAAAACTTGCAAGTTGGACAGGCGACCCTTCTCCTTATAACGTACAAGCGAGAATTGATAACACACCACTTGACTCAATGACAGACCCTATGGTTTAACACGTGCACACCAACTTACATGTATATGTGTGGATCTGGTTTTTTGGTCTCATACCTATGGATTGACAGAGTTATGAGCACAATTTATGATTCATAGATTGAGTATATTGGGTCACCCAGAAAAACCTAGAACACCATTAGAGAGAGAGAGAGAAATGGGGTTTAACGTCCACTCGACACAAACTAGGTCATTTCGGGACTAACATATGGTTTAATTTTATTTACATAATTCGCTTGCGCGTAGGGGTCTTTAGCAGTGGGAGGAAACCGGAGGACCCGGAGAAAACACACGAGGTTGGACAGGCGACCCTACTTCTTGTCACGTACAACCGGGGATTCGAAACCACGCCAGTCGACTCAATGACAGACTTTAGGATACAGCGCGCGCACGCTAACCATTCAGCCATCCAACCCCCCTAGAACACCATTAGACAAACTAATCCTGTCTTAACACTATTTAAGTGGTGGACCTGCAAATTTGGAGTGAAGTTGTCAAACATCCATACTGTACCACATGTGAAATGTTAATAATATCGGTACAATACTTTTTGAATTATTACACTTTAAATAATGTACTAATGTTTTCTGGATTTCCCGATATCAAGGACCTTGGTATTTTGTCTCATCCGAATTAAGGATTGATATAAAGTGTTTTGAGTACACATGTGAATTTGAGTATTTTGTCCCATCAGAATCAAGGATTGGTATAAATGTTTTTGAGTATATCTGTAAAGGAGTGTATATAACATATCTTACCAGCGCTGAGTTCTAATACATGAGCTAGAGGTAAATAACCTATATAAATATCAGGTGGTCTGAAATATAATCATTATTATTATATAACATATACAGTCAATAATTATAACAAATATAATCATTAAAGATTCATTATGTAAGATTTAGATCTCGCTACCATAGTTCAAAAATAGATAATGAAAAATGATATATTGAAAATTTATTCAAAATATCAGCAAATCAGTGGTTCCTTTAGGAACTATCTCTGAGCGGACAATGTCCACTGACAGTGTCTATCTGTCCCTATTAGCTGCAATATGAAAATACGGTAAAATACCGCTCTTCCCCACCACTGTTCTCAGTCGGTTTTGAAACCCTTACCATCTATTGTTCACCGTGATTCTCTATTTTTCGCCAAAAGGAATTATTTCTCACTATATTTGACACAAATCTATCATAATTCAACACCATTTTCAAGTAGAATTTAGCGATTAAATAAACATCTGGTTTGTTCATGTTCAAGTCTTGTAAAGGCTGAACAGTTCACAAGTATTTTGTCGATGTTTTAATTGCCGAATTCTACTTGAAAATAGTGTTGAATTATTATAAATGTGTGTCAGCTGTAGAAAGAAATGATTCCTTTGGCGAATAAAGAAGAATCAGGGTGAAAAATAGTTGGTAAGGATTCCAGAATAACCTTAGAACAGAGATGGGGAAGAGTGGTATTTTCATATTGCAGCAATATAAGAACGGATAAGAACTAGCCAATGAGGTGCAACAGAACTTATTAAATCTTGATTCTAAAAACTATTTGTTAGTGAATTGGACCTGGAAAAGTATTTCCTGTTCTGGATTGCTGACAATCAATCACATTCAAACTGAGAGACACTCACCCTAAATGTGGAATTCGTTCACACTGTCCGGACATGCCAGACATTAAATTACCATGACTAATTAAAACACCTGTAAGCAAGGCAGATAATATATAATTAATATATAATGAAAATTATATCACTGTAAACTTTCAGGATAATGTGAAGTTACCTATATTGCTTTTGCCTAATAGTATAGTTAAGGGCCTATGTTATTTCTAAACTTATACTAGTGGGGTTCTTTAGAAACAGGATAAATGCTTAATATAGCTTTAAATAATTATAATATTTTTAAATCTAGATAATTTACCTTTAGGTAAGCCTGTTGAACCACTGGTATACATTATTACAGCTATATCGGATCTACTTGGTTTAGTTACTGGAGAGTTAACTGAAAACAAAATTTTATAAAATAAAACAAACATGTTGCCAGGCAACAAAACACACACCCAATACACGAGCCACCCATAAAGGTTGTCACATATTTATTCTTTTGTAGCTAATGAGAGTATTTACAAGAAACTAAAACTAATTAAGAGCAACAACCCTGAAGTAATTATCAACAATAATTAACAAAATTTGATATACTGCTTGTTCTTTATATAGGTTTATAAAGATGGAAGTTGCAAAAGGGTCAAGGGTCATCACTACTCATAGCTAATTACAGGTGCTTATTAATTAAAAGTCTATGAACATCATTTGAGACCATGTCAGAAAATCTCGATGAACTTTTTCGGCGAATGCAGGGATCAAACACGCAACCTCCAGACTAGTGAGCCAGCGCCTTACCCACTTAGCCACTGTGGTCCAGGCGGTGTTCAGAATACACTGAAATAACACTGACATCATGAGAAAGTTGCCAAACCATGGTGCTGCCCATGATGATACTTATTGCTACATGATTTCACTGAAGAGTCAGTCAATTGGCACTGAACAGACCAGATGTCATGGAAATTTCCCTTTTGATGGTGCCTATTGCTACATGATTTCACTGAAAAGTCAGTCAATTCTTTACCATGTGATGCAAAATGGAACTTTTATAACAATAGGTTAACTCTTGCAGTTAAACACATTTGAAATTTGCCAAACAAACAGGGACGATATCAAGATGATGACAAGGAAAAAAGCACTTACTATTATCAGGTTCAGCTCCTTTTAACTCAACATCTTTCATAGACAATACTTTAACATGATCAGGTTTTTCTTTAACTTGTGGTAATCTAGTATTTTCTGTCATGACTATCAGATGTGTTACCTTCGGCATCAGTTTTAATATACCCTGTAAAATATATATACAATTATTGAAATACAGGTTGGAAAGGGAAAAAAGGTGTATTATGTCTTCATAACACACTAAATCATTTTGGGCCTAACAAAAGGTAATTCTTTATTCAATAATTTGCTTAAGTTAAGGCTTTATCAGGCACAATATTTTCTTAATGATATTTTTAATACATGTACTTTACTTAGTTTAAAATCTGAGGTCATTTTGCGTAGATGATATATTGCTAACAAACAAGAGCCAAAAGTTCTTCCCCCCTACACCTGGCTGACATTTTCCAAAAAAGTAATTAGTCACAGAATAGTCAGATATTTTGTAAGCTGGCATTGATCAAAACTTGCATATTTCAAACCAAATGCACATTGGTGCATCATCAGCATTTTTAGCATAAAATAAATTCTTTTTATAGAAAATTTTAATAAAAATATCAACAAAAAAGATAATATTCTTACGTTAAATTTTGAAGCTAAATCTTTAGTGGTGATAACATGCGTGACCTCAGTTTCATTCACTCCATGTATTATTGCATCCTGTCCGAGTGTAGCGTACAGTGTTACAACTAAAACAATAAAACAAAAGTATAATCAGTACATTTTATTCTAAACCATACAAGCAAATCACCTTATTTATTGGGGCATTAAATGTTGTTGCTTTTCATGGTGTTTAACATCTGCTTCCACGATTCTCAGACAAGTTGTCTTATTTTTATTATCTTAGCGCACGCGCATAGGTCTTTCTTGTGGGAGGAAAGTGTAGTGCTCGGAGTAACCCCACGAGGTTGAGAAGGCGCCCCTATCTCCAGCCCACAAACACTTATACCAGGGATTGAAACCATGACCACACGCCAGCTAGAGCTCAAAGTGTGACACACTAGACCACTAGGCCATCCCAACCCCCGTGGGTATTAAATGGTATGCTTACCTATTCTAGGACACTCAATATCACTTTTCGTTTAAGGAAATTATTAAAGAAAATTAAACCAATATATAGATGTATTTTACTTACTAGGAAAGTTATATTTAAAACAAGCTTGTGCTGCTATCATCCATTCTGCCTGTGTTTCAGCAAATATAACAATATTATAACGTGGTTTCTGTCCTAAAGCTAATAAACCGCTACCAAAGTATGTCATTCTAGTGTATGCTTGTTCGTAGGTTATCCAGCTATAATCTCCTAATATCACCTGTAAAAAATATATAGACAATCAATCGATAGCGTCGTCTACAGTACCAATCTGATTAAAATTTGATTTGTTTTCCCTTTTATATTTTATAACTTTGATGGCTTACATAGAGATCTAACCAAGATGAAATGATGAAAAGAAATTCCTATCCGACAACACTAATTCATGACATATTATACCAAATGATTATCCAATCAATTTCAAATTTAGTGCTATTACTGCTATCACTGTGTAGCCTGACTAACGCTGACCAATGACAGTATGTGATTTGTCAAGCATTAGAAAGTTATGTGAGATTACGGAATAGATGTGGAAGTTTTACCTTTTTAAAAACTCGACCGTTGGGTTGTTTTTCATCCTCTTCACAGATTACCTCCCTTGTTCCAAGACAATCCCTTGTACTGTATAGCCGAACAGCTCGTACGAAAAGATCATCAAGTGTGGAACATTCTTCAAATAAAGTCGTTGTTAATTCCCCGCCAGGTACATCAACGGATCTCCATGGTGGTTCGTCTTCATCTGATATGGGCCATGCCTGAAAACAGCAAATGGAATGAGTTAAAGGTCATACTTTGGTTATATTGAGACTTGCCTATGGTAGGGTGACCCACCATAAATAAATATCTCCAAATATCTCGACAATTACGCCACAATATTTATATATATGCCAAGCCTCAAATCAGTTTCACACAATTATAGTCACTAAATAAACGATCATGTTGTACTTAATAAGCTATGACCATTAATCATCTATAAATATTAGACTGAAAACTGGTTCCAAGTTGCGTCCATAACATCCAGACACTTTTGAGTAAAAGATAGGTTACGTGCCCTTGTTTTGAAATTAGTCTCGCTTAACCAGTCTATCGACCATTCTACGTCTGATTGACAGGTCGGGATAATCAAGACTACTTTTTTACGAAACATAACAGAAAGCTAGAACAAGAAATTGAATTTAGAAATAAGCACTTTAGACAACTCAACAATTGTTTTAAGAAACTTGTAAAAGTAAAATGAAACTACTGCTAGTATCATGTTCCTGCTAAAGAAAGTGATTCAGAGATAGTATTTGTACTAAACCAAAAGATGCCGCTCTTAACGGTACAGTTAATGATAAAGCAATTTAAAAAATAAAACAAACGTAATTACTAAAGCTGCTGTAATAACCAAGAAGCTAAATTTTACTGCTATTCAAAATCGTCAACAATAGATTTTTTACGGCTGTAATAGTTGATATATTTGTAGAGAATTGCACGTGCCATGGCTATTTATCGACTCAAAGCGAGTGCGGGGTAGTCAGAAATCAGTTCGAGACACGCAACTGAAGCGTGCACATTTAGCCGTGTCGAGACCAATTTTCTGTAAAGTGCACGGGTCACCCTACCTATGGTATTTTTCATTTCCATGAAGGGGTGTGTGCGTTGGATCATAATTAGATCACATCATTGTGTCATGGATTCGATTCCCGTTTGTATGTGACAAGGAGTAGGGTCGCCTGTCCAATCTCGTGGGCTTTCTCTTGGTCCTTCGGTTTCCTCCCACTGCTAAAAACCCCTATGCACAGGCGAATTATTGGAATAAAATTGAACCATATGTTAGTCCCGCAATGACCTACTTTGTATTAAGTGGATGTTAAACTCCATCTTTAAACGTTATTAAAATCAAAGTCGTTTACGTACCTTTTGTCGGCGGGATTGTCGCAGTTTACTATTGGGGTCAAAAATTATATAATACGGTAGAAAAGAAACAGCATCGTAAACAAACACCACAGCCCTGATCAGACCGATCACGGCCTTAACTAAAATATCACTCATTTTCTTCTTAAATAATCATCTAGTTGAACCTGAAATATATGTATCAATATACAATATAGATGGGCACTCTGTTTCCTGATCTGGATAATGTTATTTGACTTATTGTTGAAATGAAATGAAATGGAGTTCAATGTCCAACTGGGGGCTAATGAAGACAGGCATATGTCAATATGTACACAGGACCTCGATTTTTCATCCCACCCGAATGACTATACATTGTATCTTGCCAAGACCTCTGTCCGAGATCACTGATATTTTATATCAGGCTTGATTTCATTATCTGAGTATTAAATACCTACAATCATGTTGACAGCATTTACATTTTTCTCCCATTAACGTTTTATAGATTTACATTGATCTAAATATAGAAAGATATGTATTGAGTAGTATTTCTAGAATCTTATTGTTTGACTTGTGTTTGTCACATCATGTCAACTGTCAGCAGTAATTGACGTGGTACGACAATCAATAAACAATAATTGCGATCATCTAGTGATAATGATGTACTAAGTGACAGCAGAAAGACTCTGACCTCAGAAATCATTCAACCGTTTCACACTGAAGAAAAATAAAAACACAATCTAATAAATGGTGTATACACAAGTGCCTGATACAATCTGTTAAGTGTACCGTAAGTGGAATACACAGAGGTTTAATAAAATCTAATAAAAATACATGTAGGTGTATGTACACGTATACACAGGGGTCTAACAAAGTATCTCACTATTTAAGATTAATAAAATGTAACAAATTGATATTGTAAAGGAATGAAATTGTAAAGTTTAACGTCCTACTGTTCTACTCCGACTGTGCTAATGAAGACGGGCCTACGCCATATATATTGAATTTCAACTGCTAAGCGATCTTTTACGTGAACGCTAATGTGCACACAGGACCTCGGTTTTCCCTCCAATCTGAACGACTAGATACATGTAGCTGTGCTTGTCAGGCCCTCCCGTCCTGCACCACTGGATAAGGGGAATCCATGCCGGAAAAAACTGATGTAGTAGAACTCTAACTAGGATTGTTTGTGAATGTTTATGAATAAAAAGATTCATTGTAATGTGTGAATGGGACCTCAGTTTTTCATCCCATCCAAATTACTAGATATTGTTCCTAGTCACTGAGACTCTCACAAGGTCAATATAAATTGCTTAATCGGCATTTGGTACATGTATTAAATGAGAATAACACATTACACAATTTATCTAGCAAAGAATTAAGAACACCTCCTCGAAACGTGGCCAGAAATAAACTTCTAATTAATGTGTTTTCCATAATTTTCTCATGTGTCAAGGTCTATACATTGAATCCTTATAATATAATATTTCTATTAAGGAAGTCTGGAACCAAGTCACCTGCCACAATGCCGAGAACAATTCTGGTTCTGTCTGTCACAAATCCCCTGGTACTGACATTTTGTCTATTTCTTGTTAATATCTTCAATACATGTTCAGTACAAAGTTATAGGTACTAGTTTTATTAGGTAAATAAAAATGGAGTTTAGAGAGAGAGAGAGAAAAATAGGGTTTAAGGTCCACTTAACACAAACTAGGTCATTTCAGGACTAACGTATGGTTTAATTTTATTTCAATAATTCGCTTGCGTGTAGGGGTCTTTAGCAGTGGGAGGAAACTGGAGGACCCGGAGAAAACCCACGAGGTTAGAAAATGGAGTTTAACGTCATACTGAAGATTGAGTATTTTTTTTTTTTTTTTTTTTACTTTTTGAGTGAAGCCTGTACCATTACAGGCCAGGGACTGTACAGTGCAGTGGACGCTTATGGCTGGCCCCCTCACGGCTTACGGGTGGCTTATTTTTCTGCAATGTCTATATTCTGTTTTGTCTGCAGGTTTGTCTTGTAGATTTTGTTTATCCTGCACGTACTATTAGGATCCCTAATCTTTTTTGTCACTTTAGTGAATGAAGGTTAAGGTTAGACAGACGACCATGCTTTACGTGTCTGTACTGTCAATGACTTATCAATATCGTATGTTATCTAACAAATCACAGATAAGTTATTACGTGTCTTGTCACAGACTAATGTGAAGACAAAGTTTAGATTAGATTTATAGATATGAAACTTTGTCTGAGAAGTTTATGTAGCTAAAGACAGTCTTTTTTCAACTAGTCTGGGAATAATGATATTGCAATACAATTCTGAGACTGAGTCGCAATCCACAGTCCTAAATATTTCACATGGGATGGAAAACATAGGTCCCGAGTACACATTGGCATGCACTTATCAGTACCTCAAGAAAATTCAAGGAAGGGAAAAACTTCCCAGTTAGCACCAAAAAAAAAGGATGTTAAACCCCATTTCATTTTATCTGTGCCCTTATTTGTCTCTCGATCTGGTCTGTCTGTCTCTCAATCTGTCTCTCTCTCAAACATTTGTTATTAGACTTTTGTTGTACTTTTTTTCCCTATTTCATGCCTCTATTTTTTCACATCCATCAAAAAACCTCATCCCTCTTTAATACTCTGTAAATGAATACTTGACCTTGACACCCTTGCAGACACATGATACAGTAAGTCACAACAAAAACCAGTGACCCAATAAATAATTTAACTTGAACATGTGTACATACAGTTAAATGTAAACATAAAAACAATTAAAGTCTAAATGTTTCCTTCATGAATTGTACAAAAACTTTAAAGTGGCCGTAAGTCTATATGCAAGCCAAATTTATTTGTCGTCATTATTCAGCTTTAAATTATAAATTGTTGAATACACATATTAATTTAGAAATTCTAGAAATTTAGATTACAAGGAATGTCATTGAGTCAAGTATTGTCGTTTCGATTCCGACCGTTTAAGTTTAACAAAGCTGTGAAATCTGTCACTCTCAAGCAGTGATGGGATTTTGCCCGTATATTCCAGACTTGTCCGAATCTTTTTTCCAAACGCCCAAAATTGTCCGACCGGGAATATGCCCAATCGGACATCAAGACACGGTGAATAATATTCAAAATTCTAAAATTAATATAGTTTACTGAGTGTATAACTACCACTCAACCAGATTATCGTCGATAATACGCTGGATTGATTAGGTAATTAAGTGATCAACGTATTTATCGTGTTATACAGTCTATAAACCTACCTTGATTAACTACTTAATCTGCCTTGATTGACTGACTTAATCCTTTGTCGGACAATTCATCAATCTAATCTTAAACGGAAGCCATTGTTTCCCCTTTGTCGGACTATTCATCAATCCATTATAATTTTAATCTTCGTTTGTTAACCTCGTGTAGCGACTTATGACCCGAAAATACGGTAATTTTGGAGGAATTTGGAACAGTACAGATCGGCAGCAGTCGGCACACTTTCATTCTATCGAATTACGAATTTTGTAGGAATATTACTGACATAAATTTGAATACCGTACGGGAATTAGATATGAAAAATAACGAGGTGCACCTATTTTTATATTACGGACAATTTGAATATTTTGTTTACACGTGATTTTTTTGTGTGGTCTAAAAACTGCCATTTTAAATAACGATAAGAGTTATGTCCCTTTATTTTCGGTAAAAATGTCTGACAAAAAAAATTTTGAAATCCCATCACTGCTCTCAAGTTAACTCACCAATAAGTCTGAGCAAGCTGGAATAATGTGTGGCCATTATTCAGTTTTTAATTTATGAAATGTAGCAAATGCATATTAATTCAGAGATTCTAAAAGTGCATGTAAGTCGAGAGAGAGAGAGAGAGAGAGATCTAAAAGTTAAAGCTTCGGTACTTGGAGCCACGGTGGCCAAGTGAGTAAGACGTTGGCTCGCTGGCCTAGATGTTCGATTCCGGGTTGTCAGTGGTGCTTGCTTTTTTTAGGTGGCCAACCAATTTAAGAATTAGAGTTTAATATGGGGGTTTGTAAGATTGACCATAATAAAGATGGGACCGGGTTTATTCTTATAAATTAATAACAATATGGCTACTTTAAAGTCATTCTATTTCAATCTCGGGAAGAAGAAAAACAACTTCTTAAATTTCTACTCTGATTTTATCAAAAGAATTCAACATTATTCAGCCAAAAATAACCTATGGGTACATGTACTGGAATGTTGTTATCTACCATATTTACTTCAAATGGATTTTACATGTTTACATATTCTACTATAAAAATGTCAAATGTAAGCGTTGAATGTAAGGTTAGGCAGACATAACTAGGTATTCCAGAAATTAAAACCATGCCATTTGAATCAATGACACATAGGAGCCTATGATTATAACCACATCATTTAACTCTGCCACCCAACACTTCCGCTAGATTTTAAAAGAGGGGTCTTTAGCAGTGGGGCTATGAGGGAAATTTTGCCTAGACAGTGGCGCTACAGCCTACACTTATCGAATTCCAACTGCCGAAGGATCTTTAACATGCATGTCAATGTGTACTGGTTTTTCATCCCATCTGTGGCTCCTAAACTGATATGATCATTCAGATCAACCCTTACAGTGTACCCAGGACCACGTTTCTTTGTCTCAACTAGATAACAAGACACTGTTCCTTGTCAGGCTCTCTGTTCTGTACCACATGCATGGGGAAACCACTCTAAAAATACCACAATGATCTTTCTCAGCCAATTTAACATACATGTATAATTACATAAGATCAAGGCTTTCACTTGACACTTTTGCCAGATGGCCAATTTTTGACATAATTTTTCTACCTCGGATTAGCAAGTTAGTTTTTCCAAAGAATATCCCAACTTTTGAAAAATATTGATAAGTGCTTGTACACATAAAAACTATGAATTTAAGTGCATCTTGTGTTTTAAGATTAAATTCTGTGAAATTATAATTTCATGACATGTAAGTAAATTGCCTGACAGGTTATAAGTTCTCCTCTCAATTTCAATATCATTCAGTTATAAGATGGATGAATGAATATGGCTTAAAAGTGAGTCAATTTTGAAAACTGTTTGGTCCATTATCTCTGAAAATGTCCCATTGAAATCACTTTCAATGGGGCATCAATTAAAATGATCTTCCCAGTCCCTGGAATCTGATTGATAAAAAGATCTC